AGACGATAACATCTTATATTCTTGAAACCGAGATGTGTGAGTTGTATCTTGCAAATCGGTTGCACGTTGATAATATGTAAACGCACCAGTACCTCGGTGTTATAAAACTTATTGTTGTGTGTGATTCGATGAGTGAGTACAAGCAAGCATTGTATCAAAGTTTATTCGTTCCTTTTCATCCAAAGTAGGATAAAAAGCGATATCTTTGGGCCCTTCGATGATTTAGTGATGACAAACATAAATGCTCGGTCGGGCTAGGGCTAATTTGATTTGTTCAATTAGTCGGTCGTCATAAATAGGAAATCGAGAAACAACACATAGACTGAGAGAATAATTTCAATCCATGTCTCGTGTTTATACGATATCTAGAATGGAGGAATATATGATCCCTTATCTGAAGGACAGGTTACTGATAAGATCAGAGTTTGACAGCGTCTTTGAGAGCTACGATTGCAAATCGAGGTGTACTTACATTTGTAGTTACTAGACTTATCCAAGTGGGAGACTGTTGGATTAGTGTCTAAGCCAGTAACCATATTTGGTAAATACTTGACCCGATTGTGCATGGTCCTTTTGGGTTGCCTTCACCAAAGCAACTTGACTGGAGAAATAATAGAGAAAGAGGTTATTATGATTTATTAATATGTTATAAGAATAATATATTAAAGGAGAAATCATATTTTTTTAATTAATATTGGTCAATAATTAATTAAGAATTAATTTTGTGATCAAATGTAATTAATTAAACTAGAGGGGCTAAATTGTAATTATGTGATAGTTACAAAATAGGGTAAGGATTATCCTAAGGATAGGTTGGACGAATTTAAGGTGATAAGGCCTTAGAATTCGTCCATGATAAGGATTCAAGGCTTATCTTATGGGTTGATTGGTGGGCAAGCAACTAGATAAGGATAAGGACTAAAACCCTATCTCTACACCTATATAAACACCCCTTTGGCTCATGATTTCGTCCATACCTTTCCAAGGCTTCTTAGGGACAAATTTTTATACCTCGCCTCTTTCTCTAGAGCCTCTCCATTTGCTCTTGGTGTTTGTGAGCCATTAGAGGCACTCCACTTGTGGTGCTTGCTTTCAAGACTTATGGTTTGAAGATTCAAGTTGTTATTACAATATAACAACAAGAGGTATGTAATCTAACCTTCTTGGTTAATTTCGAAATTAGCAATCATCATTAGGGTTTTATTATGTGTTCATAATGTTGTGTATCTAATAGTGAAAATGACATCGACAGAGTTCGCCAAGCGTTTCGATTTGGAGTTTGCACCACCCATTGAGGTGAAACGGCTAGTAAGGGAGTTTCATAAGCTCCAGCAAATCATCGAGACTGTGGTGGAGATCACCACCAAGTTTCGGGAATAAGCATTGTTGATCCCATAATATGCTACGGATGAGTATATGAGGAGGAAAAGGTATCATTCCATGCAGAGGGGTGATATTCTCGAGTTTTTGAGCTTTATAGGGTGCAAAACACTGAATGAGATTGTGGAGAAGGATCGTGAACGGGAGATGGAGTTGTACTTCCGCACCAAGCGGAAGCCTGAGCAGGCATAGACAGCAGTAGATCAGGCTAAAAAGTCTAAAACCTTGGATTCTTCCAGTAGGGGCTAGCAGGGTCGTGGCCCGTGTGCCAAGTATAGTAAGGCGCACAATGGGGATTTTCGGGTGACAGGCTTGGGATGCTACACATGTGGCCAGTCGGCCCACGTGATCAGGGATTTCCCTAAGAAGGGCTTGCTTTGATTCCACTTCAACCAGACCAGCCACAAACAGGCCGATTGTTTGAGGATGCAACGATGAGGAGGACGAATGGTAGTGCCTGCACCCACCACACTGAGGATTACTAACGGCCATCCTGCTAAAGTGGATGCTCCAGTGGTGAAGAGTTGTGTGTTTCAGTTAACTACAAAGGAGGCTTGGGCAGCGCCAAACGTTGTGGCTGGTACGTATTTACCTTCCTTTCTATATTGATTTGCAATGCTTATGTGTATATTCGTGCTCATCTATAGGGACCTTTTTGGTCAATGGTATGTTTGCCTACGTTTTGTTCAATTCGGGAGCTACCCGATCATTTGTATCTCTTGCACTTACCAAGAAGTTTCAGGATGCGTCGGGGATTTTGGATTCTCGCTTGAGGTTGAGATTGCACTTGACCGCATTGTGAGTGTTGTGAGGATGTATTGGTACTGTGTTCTGAATGTGCTTGGGGAGAGGTTTCATGTTGATCTAGTCCCAATACCATTGCGAGGGCTGAAAGTGATTGTCGGGATGGACTGGTTGGGGGCCAATGGGATGTGATAGACTGCGAGCGCCAACTGGTGAGAGTTCGAACCCCAAGTGGGGGAGAACTGGTTATCATGGAGAGAGGGCCTTGCATGGACCAACCCTCTGTTCAGCTGTGAGAGCTAGGAGGCTTTTCCATTAGGGTTGTTCGGGATTTTTGGCGTACATCTCAAATACGAGGGTTGAGCCTATGATAGATTTGGGTAGTGTACCAGTTGTACGAGATTTTCGGGATGTCTTTTTCGAAGAGTTGACGGGGTGCCTCCGGAGAGGCAGGTAGACATTCGCATTGATTTGGTACCGGGTGCTGCTCCGATAGCCAAAGCAATGTACTGGCTGGCTCCACCCAAGATGCAGGAGCTGTCTATATAGCTTCAGGAGCTGCTAGACCGAGGGTTTATGAGTCCGAGTAGTTCCCCGTAGGGAGCACCGATCCTGTTCGTGAAAAATAAGGACGGATCACACAGGATGTGTATTGATTACCGAGAGCTGAACAAGTTAACGGTGAAAAGCCATTACCCGCTTCCAAGGATCTATGATTTGTTCGATCAGCTACAGGGTGCATCTTGGTTTTCCAAGATTAATCTTCGGTTGGGGTACCATCATATGAGGATCTGGGATAAGGATATACCGAAGACAGCTTTCAGGACTCGGTGCGGGCACTATGAGTTTGTGGTGATACCATTCGGGCTCACCAATACCCCAACAACGTTCATGGATCTCATGAACAAGGTGTGTAGACCGATGCTGGATTGGTAAGTGATCATGTTTATTGATGATATCCTAGTCTATTCTAAGACCGAGCAGCATGAGCAATATTTGAGTGAGGTACTGGAGACATTGAGGACGGAAATGCTATATTTCAAGTTCTCAAAGTGTGATTTCTGGTTGCGAGGGGTGCAGTTTTTGGGGCATATCATCAACCTAGAGGGTATTTCGATTGATCCAACCAAATTTAATTCAGTGATACGGTGGGAAGTACCGAAGAATGCATCTAAGATCCGTAGCTTCTTGGGTTTAGTGAGATATTATCGGAGATTTATCCAGGATTTCTCCAAGATCGTCGTGCCATTGACCCGTTTGACCAAAAAGAATGTGACTTTCTAGTGGGGCTCGGATCAGTAGTCCGCTTTCGAAACCTTGAGGTAGAGGTTCTGTACGCCTCGAGGCAGTCGAAGCCTTATGAGGTGAAATACCTCACTCATGACCTGGAATTGTGGGTAGTGGTGTTTTCACTCAAGATATGGAGACACTATTTTGTATGGAGTTCGGTGCACCATTTTCACTGACCATAAAAGTTTGAAGTATTTGATGGATCAGCAGAACCTCAACATGTGACAAAGGAGGTGGCTGGATGTACTAAAGGATTATGGCTGTGAAATATTATACCATCTTGGGAAGGCCAACATGGTCGCTGATGCTTTGAGCTGCAAGACTGCGGGTTCCCTAATTGGGAATGTTTGTTTGAGGATGATAGTGGTATCTCCATTGTTGGACATGATCAATGAGGCTCAAGTGGAGGGTTTAAATAGAAAATTGGAAGTTAGAGCAGATACGGGGTTAGATTCCTTTGTTTGTCCGAGATGGTCGTGGTCTTTTGACCCAGTGTGGCCGAGTGAGGGTTCCAACATCTGGAGGAGTGAGGAAAAAATATTGGAAGAGGCACACAAGTATAGGTTCTCTATACATCTAAGGGATATAAAAATGTATACAGACCTGAGGCTGAGTTACTGGTGGCCCTGCATGAAGCGGGAGATCGCCTGGTATTTTGACCAGTGCTTGACCTGCTAGAAGGTCAAAGCTGAACATCAGCGGCAACCCCTCCCCATGTTGAAATGGGAAGATATCAGCATAGACTTCATTACGAAGTTACCAAGGAAAGCAAGGGGTGTGGATGTCATATGGGTTATCGTGGATTGATTGACGAAGAGTACCCACTTTATTTCGATTTCCAAGAGCATCTCTACTGAGAAATTAGCGGATATTTATGTGAGAGAGGGGGTGGCTAGGCACGTGGTGCGAGTGTCAATAGTCTCTGATAGGGATGTTCGATTTACATCTAGATTCTAGGAAAAGTTCCACGAGGAGTTGGGCACTCAGTTACTTTTCAGCACAACATACCACCCCCAAACAGATTGCTAGAGTGAGAGGTTGATCCAAAAACTCGAGGATATGCTTCTAGCGTGCGTGTTGGACTTTAGAGGGATTTGGGATACATACCTCTCATTAGAAGATTTTTCATACAAAAATGTGTCACGATTGAATATGAATAGCCCACCTCGTGAGGTTGATGCTTTGCACCTAGATGGTCCTATTTATGTTCCTGCTTGGGAATATAGGTAGGAGCAAAGTTTAATGGAGCCGAAGGTTGCAATGTCCTTCTTTGAGAACTTTGCTTCTTCGGAGACCTATTCAAGTGTCCGCCAAGGTTATAGGAGCACATTCGGGATATCTATAATATTAAGCCAATGCAAAACATGGTTATAGATCAAGAGATCATTTCATGACTCGATGAAAACGAGGCATTGCATCTAGAGAATTTTATTCTTCGTGACGAGTTCAAGAAGATATCAGATCTTATTAAACTGTTTATGGCGTTGTCCGGAGGTGTTTCTCATAATGTGCATTTGTTTCTTGATTAGTATGTGGGGGTTATGGATAAAGTTATACCGAATATGGGAACGATGTCTTAGAGTGAAATGGATATGGTGATGGGTGAGCTATCCATTGTGCAAAATGAGAAAGCTGTCTTGGAAAGTAAATTAGATGGTTATGAAGATGTTATCGAGGAGGTTTCAACATTAAAGGAAATAGTGGCATCTCTTGAGTTAGAAAAGACCGAGTTGGTGGACAAGATAGCCATGTTAGAGCATGTTGTTCAAAAGTTGAAAGGCGACTTGAATGAGTCCACCCTCCGAAATATGGACTTGTAGGAAAGTGTAGTGGGGTTGGAAAGTCATCTGAGAAAAGTGAATGGGGATGTAACTTAGGTATTATCGCATGGGATTACAAAACTGGTCGACAAATTGTTACTGGGTCTTCGTCTTTTAAGCTTAACCGTGATTTGCAGACCATTTACGTTGATTTTGGTAGGAGAACTGGCTGCGAGATGATGAACACCGACTTCCATATGGGTTTGCATGAGACTAACCTCCAATTGTATGATCCTAACCATGTGAAAAAAAGATGTATGATGCATTTTCTACTCTGTTTTACACTGATTATTTGTTAGAGTTTGATTTTCCTTTGACATATGTTGATCAGTTGCGTGCATTAATAGATCGTGCAGGCGGTAATGGTACTTCTAAAGTGGTCATTGTGGGAATCGCGTGTGTTGCAAAAGCATGGCATGTGGTATGAGGTTGCTGGCATAGTTGTGGTTATTTGTCGAATTATGAATATTGGTCTATGGTGTTGTTTTCATAACTTTAACATATTATTTTCATTATGTTTCTTGATTGATTTTGCTTTGTTATTTGTGCTAACACTTGGGATGATGGAATAGGTGTAGTTGGGTTGAATGATTATGCACACTACTACATTATTGCTAATCTCTTATCATGAATAACTATGTGATAGTAATTTATTGTGTTCTAAGCTTATGTATTTCCTTTGTAATGTTATTCTTTGCATGTGTGATTCTTTTGTTAGGTTAATTCATAATCCATGACTCAGTTCACACAAATATCTTGTAGAAAAAAAAGGAATAATTGATCACTTATCTAAGGGATGATTTTTAATTAGATTATAGTTTGGCAGATGATGTGGAAGGCACACTTTGTTGGTTATTCAAATATTATTTGACCAATAGTAGGTGATGACTTGTCCAAGTGGGAGACTATTGGAAATGGGTGTCTAGTGTCATAATTGATTGGTATAAGTTTATGAATAATATCAAAGTCCTTTTAGGGTTGCCATCAAGTGCTAAAATAGCTAGAAAATGGTTTAAGAGAGTGCGATAAATAGTTTATTAATTTATCATATGTTGGTAAATTAATTAGAAAACTAGTTAAAAATAATTTGAATTGATTTGGAATTAATTAGAATTAATCAGGAAATTATTTAAAGGTATAAGGACTGAAAATTAATTGTTTAGTAGTTGAGCAACTAGAATATTTTGGAATTCCAATAGGCTGGATGGTGTTAAGGAAGGATAGAATCCTTCTAGAATTCGTCTATAGTTGTTGATAAGGCATGGATTTGAATTAGGATTAAATTTGATTATTTCATAAATTTAAATTTGCTTTCTCTACAAGTTTCTTCAGCTATAAATTGACCCTCCTGGTCTTCAAAATTTCCGTTTCTTATCTCCCTTGCACTCACAAAATTCGAGTTTTGAAAGTCTTCTCTTATCTCTCCTTATTTTCTAGTGTTTAGTCTTTTTGGTGTGACACTTTAGAGGCATTATACTTTGGGTGCTAGTATTAGGTGCAATTTGTGCACCTTTTTGCACACCTTTTAGTCAATTTTCATACATCTATTTAGCATAATTGTTCTTTATTTTCTTGCATTTCATCGTATTCATGGTAGTCTCTAGAACAACCTTATTTGCACACTTTTATGTCTTTTTCAGGTAAACCGGAGGTTGGAACGCGCTTTGGGAAGTGCCGGGAAGCATCGGTGAAGATTTCGGGATGATCAGGCAAAGAACGAAAAAGTTGGAAAATCAAGTTTGGAATTGGAGTTAGAGAGGTACACAGGGCGTGTTGAATTTACACTGAAAAGTGGGCACGGGGCGTGTTTGGCCAAGAAGAAGTTGTTGACTATGTTGAACACGGGTCGTGTTAGTTTAGTGCAAATCAACACGAGCCGTGTTGGCTGCTGAACACGACCCAATATCAGAGCAAATTTTTCCTATCTTTCATATTACGGGATGAGGGCTATTTTTACATACACACATGATATCAGAGCAAATTTTGTGAGGGGATTCCGAAGGTTTGCAAGGGTTTTATCAGTAATCATTTGGAAACATTATTTCTAGTATTTGTAAGTTGTAATTGCACATTATTTCCATCTTTTAAACTTGTAATCTTGTTCTAGCCATGTGTGGCTAGAACCTTAGTTTCTCTAATTTCATGTTTTGACTTCTTGGTAGTGACTTCAATTATATGACCTGATGTTTGTTCTTAATTTTTATCTAGTGAATTTGATTTTACGTTAATCGAATGTTTGATTCTAATTATGATTCTTATTGACCCTAACCTTACACTCCCGAGCTTGAGGAGTATTGGGTGTTGTTGGGAACATTCACATAAAGCTTCATGCAATCTTTCAATCTAATTCTAAGATCTTGTTTAGATTAGGTTAGTAAGGTTAGGGTCAATCAAAGAGTTTGTTTTGGTTAATTAATGTGGTGAATGAGAAGTGTTAGAGCTTGTTTAACACTTTCAAGTACCAACTTAGATAGAACTGAACAAATATTGTGTCATCTTTGTATCACATTGCTAAGTTGTCATACATGAAGTTGGAGTCCTTACAAAAATATGAATTTAATTCACTCATTTAGCTTATTACTTGTGTTTTAATTTGTTTGTTTAATCATTTCATTCACCCCCCCCCCTCCTCTTTAATCTTTGGTGAATAAGTACCTTACGCAAAGAGGTATTAGACTGATTGTCCCATGTCTCTGTGGATCAACCCTACTTGCCTTGTACTACCTTTTAGTGCAATATAGTGGGATTCTTTTGGAGTATATTGTACCCCTTTATTTGTTAGGTTTGACACGCCTAACAGCTAGGTCTTCTAAGAGCATCAAGGAATTCAAGATCTACAAGTGTTCAATAAGCAAATCTAAATTTTCTTGAAGGTTAGTAATTATATCCTTCTTTGTAGTATTACTTTTGTACTTTTCAATGTAGGTTGCGATAGCTATTAAACTTAGATCCTAAGTTGCTTGTGCACTTAGGGTTATTTTAATTGCTTTGTTGATAAATATTTGTGTATATATGCATAGAAAACCTATCCCTAACGATCGTCGGCAACAATCGACTTGGGGAAGTCAGCAATAGTCTTTGAATGCCCCCTCCTGGTGAATATTTTAATGACAGCCTCCTCCACAACTAATGCAATGGGACAGTAGCCTTCTTCTAATTTCCCAGCTCCTTGGGATTGGTTTGGACCCAAATCAAGCAACAACCCTCCCTCAAAAGTTTCATCAATGTCTCTTTAATAATCGGAACAAAATGATTGGATTATGGATACGAGAGCAATCTATCATGTTCATGTAAACAAATATATACTTGAATCCCTTAGATATAATCATAATTTTCATTCTGTTATAGTTGGTAACATATATCATATTCTTGTAACTAAGACCGGTCATTCTTCATTTCTTTTACACAATTCACAGTGTCCCCTTCACCTTTACAATATTCTCATCATACCCACTAAAAAAATCTTGTTTCCCTATCAAAATAAATGTTTAATTGAATTTGACTAATTTGGTTTTACTATGAATGATTATTACACGATAAAACAACATTTAATCTGATGTGATAGTGATGGCCCTCTTTACCCAATTTTTCCTTCAACGCCACAAGCTAATGTCTTTGCAAGCCCTTCCATTTGGCACCAATGTCTCGACCATCCCAAGAAAAAAACTTTGCAATCTTTAATTTCCAATAATTCCATGTTATGTAACTTAAAAATATAAATTATTCCCACGTTTAACTTAAAGGCAAAAAGAGCTATTTCATCCAAATTCAGAAAGAAAAAACAACTAGCTTGACATATGTAACTCAAAGAGGAACAATATACATGCAAACCAAATTTTTGTAAAATCATGAAGGTTTAAAATGTAGTTCGAAAATCCAAGTGCACAGAAACAAAATGAAACATAGGAACTAGCTATTTCATTTGTTAAGGGTCGATCGCTTGTTAATTGAGCATAACTATTTCTTTTTAAGGTTAGAGGGAATGATGGTGAACTTAACACACTGATCTGCCACCTAAGTTTTTGTAATAAAACATGAAAATATTGGAATTATTGGGGTGTGTGGTGATTCCATTTAAATAGCTAGGTTTTATTTTGGTAAAAAAAAAATAGAGAACACCAATCATAGACCATTTCCCACTTTCTCTGTATTCTCTCTTTTAGTTGGCCGGTTGCGAGGCATCCTTGTCGAGACCCTTGGCAAGAGCTTAGGGGCGGAGTTGGTGACGTCTTGGTGAGAAGTGGCAAGGGTCACTCCCTATAGTCTAAGCCATCCCAAACCGATTTCAAAGTTCAACAACAAACTTTTTTCTTATCTGGACTAAAACCCAAGACTAGTTACAAGTACCAATTTCTGGTTCCAACCGTTTCATACCCACTTTACCTGGTCTAATACTTGGAACCAAACCAAAGTCAGTTCCTTAATATCGTGTCAGTTCTTGGGTCTTCTAATCCTTTAATTCTGATTTTCGGGTTTCCAGGTCTTGGTTCATTCGAGTCGGGCCAGTCCCACTTTCATTCCTACTTGGAATGATGACAGAGGCAACAAATGACAAGGGAGTTAGGGGTTGCTAATGTTTGGTACGATCTGTCTGGTTCTAAATCAGATATACTCTTGAATCAAATAAAAGCTCTAAATAATCTTTCTCTAACTAAAAACATATTTGTTTGTTAGACATCTAAATGGTTGTATTTAGAAGACACAAAACGAATAGTGAATGTTTGTATATATGTTAAGATTGAACTTAAAAATAATTTATAGGGAAAATGAAATGTTATTTTGAGGAAGAGAGTGAGAAACCAAAATAAAATAAATAATGGAAAAAGGAAAATGAGTACTATTGATTAATTCAAAAACACAATTCAAACCTAGCTAATAATACTTCCTTTTATAAAGTGGCAAAACAAAATGTCGGCCAGTAAAAGATAAGATAATGAATTAATAACACAAAAGAATTATGCCACTTAAAAACCTTGTGCTATTAAATGTAGGTGTTTTTTTTTTTGTAGTGAGGGTGATTCTCGACTATTTAGTCTTTTTTGCGTCAGTTCTAGAAAATAGAAATCCAAAACTGATATTCAATTCCGAGAAATGAGACATAATATTCAATTATGATTTTGTGAACATTATGATTTTCTTAGAACATTTTGTAGTAGTCTTAATCTAATTTACTTCTGATTTTCAATTTCGAGGATTTTTTTTTAGATCATTTTGATTTTATATAGTTCTTAGATGATATTAAATTATCAAAACATGTTGATTTTGTGAGAAAATCCAAAACTGATGTTCAATTCTAATTTTGTAGTAATTATGAATCTGATATTCAATTATGATTTTGTAGTACGTAGTTTGTAGTAGATTTTGTTGCAGTTTTGAATCTTGTATTCAGTGCTGATTTTATAGTAGTTTTGAATCTGATTTTCAATTATTATTTTGTGAGATTCCGAATCTGATTTGGTATTTTTGTTGTGTGTTTTATAGTTTTAGCAACCATACTTCGATAGTTAGGCGTCTATAGTGACGTAAATGTTTTTTGTTTCGTGTAAATTGAAGGCAAAACAAATCGTGGGCCATGGTAATGAATCAGTGAATGTTGATGCTTCCCATAAAGACAGATGAGTGCCTCTAGTCCTTTTCTTCATTGTTTACAAAATATTCTCTCTGCGCACAAACCTCTAAAGAAAACAAAAACTATTCTAGATCGATACATAGTTACATAGAGAGATAGAGAGATGGAAGGACACGGCGGAAGACGGTGGCCACTGGTGGTGCTAGCATCATCTCCGTTTCATGGCCACATGACCCCTACTCTTCAGCTCGCCAAAGCCCTTCATGCCCATGGGTTCTCTATAGCCATTGCTCACTCCAATTTAAACCCTCCTAACCCTTCTAACCATCCCTCCTTCATTTTTCTCCCACTTTCCGACAACTTATCCACTATTGATGACTCCGGTAGCTTCAGTAATTTCATCCAGACTCTCAACAAAAACTGCAAACCATCCTTCCAAGAACACTTGACTCGATTAATCGGTGAACAAAATAGAGGAAATAAATCAATCGTTGTCATCTACGACCACCTTATGTTTTTTGCGGGAACCGTCGCCGTCGATATGAATCTTGCCGCCATAGTCTTCCGCAGTTGCAGTGCAGCGTACTTTCCGGCTTACCTTGTCCGTCAGCAGCTCCATCAAGAAAGCAGATTTCTTGAACAAGGTACAACAAACTTAATTACAACCTTGATTTATGTATATGAAAGATTCAATTAAGTAATCTAGTACTTTTTCAATTAAAATCACGACAAAGTACTAGATGTATATACAAACTAATTTAGGTAACTCCTATTTGTTGAAAAGATTATGTGATGCAGGAGATGGTGCCAAATCATCATCCCCTCAGGTACAAAGATCTGCCCTTTTCAAAATCACCTGTTGAAGATATGCAGCAACTAGTAGCCATAATGAGCCAATCGATACGACCCTCTGCAGTTATTTGGAACACCATCAAAGTTCTCGAACATGAAGCCTTAACCCAAATCCAGAATCACTACCAGGTTCCAGTTTTTGCAGTCGGACCTCTGCACAAAATAGCACCAACTAATCCCCCTACAAATTTTCTCGAAGACGACACTAGTTGCATTGCTTGGCTCGATAAACAAGCTCCCAAATCCGTAATTTACATAAGCTTTGGAAGCTTAATGACTTTGGACAAGAAACTGCTCACCGAGATGGCATGTGGGATAGCCAAAAGCAACCAGCGGTTCATATGGGTGGTTAGACCGGGTTCAGTTTGTGACTCGGAATGGACTGAGTTCTTGCCGGAGGGTTTCATAGAGGAGACGAGAGAACGTGGCTTGATTGTAAAATGGGCGCCCCAAAAGGAAGTGTTGGCCCATTTTGCTGTTGGTGGATTTTGGAGTCATTGTGGTTGGAATTCGACATTGGAGAGTATTTCGGAAGGTATTCCGATGATATGCCAACCGTTTAATATAGACCAAATGGTGAATGCACGTTACGTGAGTTATGTATGGAAGATAGGGTTGGAATTGGAGGATTTAGAGAGTGGGGAAATGGAAAGTATGATTAGGAGAGTTATGGTGGATGAAGAAGGGGAGGAGATGAGAGTTAGAGCAATCGGAATGAAGGAAATGGTTAAAGAAGCAGTGCAAAATGATGGTTGTTCATATGATTCGTTGGAGGAGTTAGTGGGTTTCATCTCGTCGTGTTGATAGTCAAGAAATGTGGTGAATCTGCAAGGTACAAAACAATTTATTGAATGATTAACTTATTCACATTCAAATTTAAATGAGGTTTTTCGATTCTTATAATTTATAAATCTCAAATATTTCATTGTTGGCTAAACTTACATATATGTATTTTAGTTTTCCGTTTAAGCCAAAAAAAAAAAAAAAAAAAAAAAAAAAAAAAAAAAACTAGATTAGTTAAAAACTAAGAATATAATATAGATATACTCATGGGCGGACGAATAATTTAAAAATAACTTTAATTAATTATAACTTAGCTATTGAGAATTAATAATAAAACTTTCAATAAATAATAAATATATATATATTGTCTGTAATATCTAGGGATGAGCATATGACACGTGGGATCGAACCGGGCCAAAAAAAAACTGGGGCGGACCCTATCCGAACCGGATTATCATATTAGTGGGCCGGTTTTCAGGTTTGATTTCTATCAATAATCGGGTTTCAGAGTTGGACCGGCGAATTAAATGATTTAACACGGACTAGACCGGAAAACAAAAAGTTATTTATTTTATTTTTTTATTGACAAACAGTAAGTGAGAATTACCAAAATTTAAAAAAAAAAAAAAATTGTTGTCCAATTGAATTGATTCGGCCTCTCCAATTGATCACATTATAGTGTCAATTTTTTTTGGTTTCGGCCTCTTCACTTGATCGTATCATGGTGTCATTTTGTTTCTCGAAAAACCAAAAGTTATTTCCTAAAACAATTTTTTAATAAAAATAGTGCAGCTTTTTTTTTTAAATAATACAATATTTTTTTAATAAAAATCATGTTGTTAAGTGCACTTTTTTTTATATAAAAATAGTGCAGTTTTGTATTATAAAAGTAGTGCAATTTTTTTAATAAAAATAGTGATGTTAAGTGTATATTTTTTTTATAAAAATAGTGTAGTTTTTTTTTTTTATAAAAATAGTATAACTTTTTAATAACGTTTGTATTTTTTGCGCTCATTTGCACGTATTCTAGTTAGAGTCTTACAACATTTCATTGCATTCATCTTCTTTTATGTATTTTTTTAGTCAAATTGTACAAAAAAACAAAGTTACGAATGATGGATGTTACGTAATAAGATTATAATTTGAAATAATATGCTAGAGAGTAAACAACACTACTAAAGTCTAATTCAGTACAGGATTGGACTGAAACCGTAAACAACACTACGAAACCCAATTTGGTACAGGATTTGACTGAAACTGTAAACAACACTACTAAAGTCTAATTGGTCCAAAACCCGAATCCCGATTTAGTACCCGAAAAACCGGACCGGACCAAACTCGGACCCGCTACACCCAAAAACGATCCGGTTTTTTTGTAAGGTAATTCACGATTTTCGGTCTTCGGGTCGGACCGGTCTGAGTTCGGCTAGTTGCTCATCCTTATAATATCATAATGACATAATCGTTGATTGAAATTACAAAATAATATTGGTTTGAATATCCAGTTGACATTTTGTATATATAGATGTGTTAGAAAATTATAATTTTGTAGAATGCAATATAAATATAAATAAAACTGAAACTAAAATCTATATAAATAATAAAATTGTACAAAGGTTTTATAAATTTCTAAAATCTTCTTTATACACAACGGATGTTTTATTTCATAGTTTACCATCATTATCGAAACACATATCAACAAACACAAGTCTAGGTGTCGTTTGTTTTTTCGAAACAAAATTTTTTGAAGTATGTGGACCACCTCTGCAACCCTCTGTAGCAGAAGAGGGAGACCAAACAGCTGCAGTATGTAATAAAAAGTTTGTTTTTTAACCTCTACAGACTGCTACAATAAATTAAACTAAGGTGTGAAGAGGTTTGAAGCAGATGGTCAAGTGTTGTGTCACGCAGTACACGCGGAACAGTTTTTAAATCAGAACTCTTCTGAAAAACAAACAGCTGTGAATCGTCAAGTGCTACACATGTGTTGTGCGGAGCAGCAATAAGTGGTCAGAAGTATTTTTTTTTTAGAAAAAAAAAAAAAACAAACAACACCTAATCTTTGTTGCTTATCCGGTTATCCTTTTAGAGTGTTGATGGCAATTTTGATAATTTTACTCTTATCCTACATAACATATTAAAGAGGATACTAAGAAGGAACAAAAAAAGAAAACAGAAATATTAAAATTAAGATAAATATAACAATATTTGCATACACAGATCAGTGATATAAAATTTAAAGCATACAATTTTAGTTTCAACAAACAATTAGGCATTTTAACAAGTAGGCTATGTGCATAGAGTTTATATTGTCAACCGGTTAATCATTTACTTTGTTATCCCCATCATGGTACATATACGCCATTTCTACTTGATTATCCTTGACATGGTGTATGTTTTCCAACTACCCTGACCATATGCAAAAGTTGTCGAAAATGACAAAATTCATTAGTTATTTAATTTATTTTCTAATAGTGATATGTGTGATGGCATAAAAGATTTGTCATATAAAAGATGGCCTAACATAGAATCACCCAGAAAATAAATAATTTAATAAACTTATCAATGACAAAATGCTGTGAACTTACTGAAATGTAAGATGGTAAAATGTGACCATCTTTCAAAATTCGTTGATATTCATGTAATTTTTGGAGATGGAGCTTAAAGCCTTTGAGTTTGGATCTTTTGCCCACAAGTAAAGCATATTTAACATCTCAATAAAACATATTCATTTAAACTTTTTATGTTTTATTTTTATTTATTTTTTTAATTTCTAGGCACCAAAGGCAACAAAGCAATAAACTTTGCCTGAAATATTCTTTCATTAGGTTTATGTTATTATCATAAAAAAAATAAAGGTAAAAGAGAACATTTCACCCACTAAAGTTGATTTGTTTTTCACAAAACGGAACATATACAGGATCCACAAACAACGTAAGAAGAACACATATTTTTTTTACAATTTGACAATTTAAAGACAATTTAAAGGGCACACAAGAAAAAGAAAGACATATAATCACCATTATATAAAAATTGATCCAAATAAAAGTCAACCATTGAAAACAACATAAGATTTGTGTGAAAATTGGCCCATGTGTTACTGAAAGAAATGAGAACAACCCTGTGTTACTAAATTTACAAAAAAAATCCCATGTGTTACAAACTTTCAAGCATATAATTTTAGTTTCAACAAATTACATAATAGCTCCCAATGTTAGCTGTTGTTTTTTTTTTGAAGCAAAAATTTATGAAGTCTACGGACCACCTCTACAACCTTTTGTAATAGAAGAGATAGACCAAACTGCTACAGACTGTAATAAGAAACGTGTTTGTTTTTTAACATCTAAATGTTGTTGCATATATTTAAAAAATTAAAACAAACTGATTTTATAAACCGAAAATAGTTTTTTAATATCGAAAATTTTAATAATGTATGACATTTCAACAAGAATTTATGATATTTCAGCAAAAAAATAATAATGATATTTCAACAAAAAATAAAGATATTTCATCACGAAATTATCATTATTCAATATAAAAAGCAAAAAAAAAAAAAAAAAAAAAAAAAGGTGAAACAAGATTTCAGCAACATATAATCAAGATTTCAGCAAGAAAAAAAAAAGAGCTTGGAAGAGTAATACAAATACTACCCCAAACAAAACACTTGCGTAAATTTTTTACTCCAAAGGCGTTTACAAAACGAACAGTTGTAAGATGAAAAGTGTTGCGTGTGTGCTGCATTGCACATCAATAAGAGGTCTAAAGAGGTTTTTTATAAAAAAACAAACACCTTAATGTATTTCATAGTACATTGTAAAAAATTACATAATAGCTCCCTATGTTAATCAATGGACAAAATAACCCCCGAGTTACTAAATTTACAAATATCCCATGACTTAATAAATTAAGTGAAATCTGATCCTTAGTTATTCAATCAACAAAACAGCCCTATGTAACTAAATTTTCAAAACAGTCCCTATGTTAAAAAAAATAACATAATGGCCCTTGTGTTAATAAAATTGTGAGAAATTTGGTCCTTTTCACCCTTAGGAACAAATAGCATTCTACTTGATTATTATTTTCTTTATTTTTTAATATGTACTAATAGTAAGGAATTGTAAGTTTATGGCAACGTACTTTGCATTTTGTTATGAACTTATTTGGTTAATATCAATGTACTTTGAGTTTAATCAAAAATATACCAACCGTAATTTCAAGGTTTCTTTTAAGTTAATATCAAATGTTCCACAGATAAACCATTTAAATCCAAAACATTACACCTTATCGAAAAAAAATAAAGATCTTAACTCTTGTTTAGAGGTTAAATATACAATCGGACCCAAAAAAACTTTTTTTTTTTACAATTTTACCCTTTAAAGGGCACGCAAGAAGAAGAAAGACATATAGTCACCTTTATACAAAAATTGATCCAAAAAAAAAGTCAGCCATAGAAAATAACATATTATTACAGACAAAAAGTGTAAAAAAAATTAGGATGTTATTTGATGCCATTTTATAAAAAGATACATACATCCAAAAACAAAAACATAACAATCCTTTTTATGTTTTTTACTGGTGTTTTCATGGTGGAAGATGTGCAAGCAGGCATGTAACACTCTGTTCCGAATCGTTTCCTAATTTGGGGTCGTGACCGAGGATCGAATATCATAAGACTTAGGGCCTTTGGGAAAGAGAGAGATTTAGACCATTTTGGGTATGGGTAATGTAGGTTAGATGATCCAGGAGTTCGGTTTGTGATTTGAAGCCCTAGGGTATAACCGTAAAGTGGCAGTTTGGGCTTTTTTAACTTTGGATTTTAGTTTGGGAAGTTTCAAGGCAAGGATGAGTTTATAGAAGTGTAGAGCTTCTCGTTACCTTTCTGAGGAAATAAGGATCGTCGAAAACGAACATAGAATGAAGAAGTTATGGCCTTCGAAAGTTTGGTGGTTTTAAAATTGAGCCTAGTACGTTGGGCGTACATGGAAGTACATTGGGCGTATGAGACAGGGCAGTCACGGATTCTATTTGGAGTATGTTAGGCGTACCAGAAGTATGCATGGCATACTCCAGTCAGACCCAAACCCTAATTTAGGATCTTAGGATCTAGGACCCTATTTAAGCTTCTTAACTCAACACCACACCCTCTTATCTTCAGCTTCTATCCCATTAAACCCTATAAACAAAAACCTAGCCTCCATTGATGTGGTTCTTAAGCTTTTGGTGGTATTTCATGTATTTTGGTGTTTATTGAAGAAGAAGAAGGAACTTCTTGGAGAAGTGTAGGATTGCTTGAAGCTTTTGGATCCAGACTTTGTGCTTCTTGATCAACCATCTGGAGGTATAAAGCTTCAAACTTTATGGTTCTTTAATATAGATCTATATTTGGGTGGTGTTTTTCCATGTTTTGGTCCCAAGGTTTTGATTTTGTGAGTATAAACTAATCCGAGAACTTAGAATGCTCGATCTTGGCATTTGTGAGGTCCCTTGTTCATAAAAATGTCATTTTGATGAGTTATTTTGGACCATGCATGAGTTTGGGTGTTTATTACTGATTTTATTGAGGATTTGGTCCCATTAAGTCATGCAAAGGAGTAAAGTTTCCAACTTTACGTGTTAAGACATCTCCTTAGGGTCATATATGAACTTAGAAGTTCTTGTCTATTAAGAGATTTTGTGGGAT